CAATAATGTAAGTTTACAGTAGACTAGAGTGAACAATCTGAGTTGTCAATAATGTAAGTTTACAGTAGACTAGAGTGAACAATCTGAGATGTCAATAATGTAAGTTTACAGTAGACTAGAGTGAACAATCTGAGTTGTCAATAATGTAAGTTTACAATAGAGTGAACAATCTGAGATGTCAATAATGTAAGTTTACAGTAGACTAGAGTGAACAATGTAAGATGTCAATAATGTAAGTTTACAATGGAGTAGAGTGAACAATCTGAGTTGTCAATAATGTAAGTTTACAATAGAGTAGAGTGAACAATCTGAGTTGTCAATAATGTAAGTTTACAGTAGACTAGAGTGAACAATCTGAGTTGTCAATAATTTATAATATTTGAAATGTGACTGTCTACTAAAACACAGCCAAGATAGGTCACTTTGTAAAGACTAAAGGTCAGTTATATATTATTGGATACGGTAACATGAGTGCACATGTGCCGCATCATTGTAACTTCTGTATTGGAGACTAAAGGTCAGTTATATATTATTGGATATGGTAACATAAGTGCACAGGCATCGCTGAAAGGTCAATATAGTAAAAATAATAAATATATATAAATGTATAATGTTATGAGATTTAAGCTATTTAGTCTAAACATTTATATTTTTGTGTTATGATTTGTTGTCATTCTAGAATGAAAGAGGCATAATTTATATTTATTTCCTAATTTTTTATGGGGGTTACAAGGTCAGTGAAATCTACTGAACCCGTACAGAGATTCGTTACTGAAAATAACATATAGAACATGAAGGTTTTCCTTAAGAAATGTTTGATAACTATCTTGACATTATAAAGATTTTGCATGTGAGATTTGAAAATTTTCTAATGCATAAAAGTATTTTTAATCTTAAAATGAAAATTACTTTGGATGTTAGATAGGCAACATGCAAAAAGAAAAAAAAAAGGGTCTGAAAGAAACATTGCTTTACAAACCTTAAGACTTAATAAAAAAATTGATATTTTGTGTATGAAAGCATTGTAATGTTTACTGATAATCTGCCAAGCTTTGTTAAGATATGCTTACTAATTTAAAAGTTATAGCATGAAAACTATGAGAAGCACAAAATAATTATGAGGTCGGTCCCAGGGATTGAGCCCGTGCTGAAAGAGTTAACATGAGATAAAGGGAATAGCTTAATGCATACAATATTTACAGATTTTGGTTTGTAGCGGATTTAAGCAAAGTAGGGGAACAATGATAATATTAAGCTCTTTCCATGCCAGACTTTATATACATATATATTTTATAATAATAACTATATAAATTCATCACACTTGCTCCCATCTATGGGTATATATGCTTAACACTACTAATACAAAATAGAATCAAACAGTTCATCAGACTCTAAATGTTTGAAAGTTGGTAATAAAATACTGTGAATATTTCTTCCCTCCCCTTTTGTTGTGAAACTCCACCCAGTAGCTTCGAACCTAAGGGTTGCGATAACCTCCCTTTTCAGTTTCCAGTTGTTTTTCGAATTCCCAATTAATGTTGTAGTTGCTGTATCTGCCAACAGGATTTGTTTGAACCTAACGAATTTCAATATATATGCATAAATATATAACATAACTGAAAATATTCATTCTTTCACCAGATAGCTTGGAAAGTAAATGTTGCAACGACATTTCAGTGGTTAACTGTGTAACAACTCACTTTCCTACATTTAAAGAATTGTAATGTTGAGACGACATTTCAGTGGTTAACTGTATAACAACTCACTGTTCTACTTTTTAAGAATTGTAATGTTGCGACGACATTTCAGTGGTTAATCTGTGTAACAACCCACTGTCCTACGTTTTGAGAATTGTAATGTTGC